TTCATTGTTGTTCGTTAACACTGAACCGGTTGTGGAGAACTATAGGCAATTTTCGATGCCTACAGATACAATATATCTATGTGATTTCGTGTTGGGTTTATAATTTAAAAAAAAGTGTTACATGATATACGTCACACCGCCCCACGGCCACCGCTGAATATAATTTATTCGGTGAGATAATTTTTGATTCCCGAACTTTTATTCCTACGTTTAATACACTCATCTCCTGCCTCCTCAAACCTTAAACTGCTCTCTACGCCCGTTGGCCAAACAAGGATAACGCTCACCTAAACTTCCCAAACCTTGTCACGGTCAACGTTTAAACTAAACCGTTCCAAGAGAACAGTTCTGTAATTACGTTCGATTACATTAACCAAAAAAAAAAGAAAAAAAGAAAATCTCAAAAAAAATTCTATTCTTCCTCTTTTCATCAGTTCAATTTCAAAAATCTTTTCTTTCGCTCTCCCCGATACGTTTTCTCTATCGATGGAGAACGCCAAAGAGAACGCTGGCGTCGAGAAATCCGCCGCCGGCGAAAACCCTAACCCTAACGCTCCTGCCCCCGAATCTGCATCGGAGGCGGCGGGCTCGAACCCTAGCTCGAATCCGCGGACGAGAACGCCGTTCACGAACCTGGGTCAGGTCGACGCCGACCTCGCCCTCGCTCGCGCTCTACAGGAGCAGGTTAACTTTAGGTCTGGCGCTGGATTCGTTCGCATATTTTGATAAATTGTTGATTTTGATTGATTCGATCGCAGGAGAGGGCGTATATGATGCTGAGGATGGAGGGTTTTGATGGAGGGAGCTCTGAATCTGGTAGTTTTGTGTACGAGAATGAATTGGAAGGCGAGGAGGAGGATGGTGATGATGACGACGAGGAGGAGGAGGAGGATCATGTTGATCATCCCGAGGAGGATCATGGCAGCGTTGGGGGGAGTGATTACGGGGAGGATGCGTTCGATGCGAATGAAGAGGAGCTTAATCCTGCGGATTTTGAGAGTGATGAGGCCTTTGCCAGGGCTCTGCAGGATGCTGAGGAGAGAGAAGTTGCTGTTAGATTGATGGCAATTGCTGGATTAAATGATTGTGAGAAAGATTCGGAGTGTTTTGGTGCTTTGCGTCGCGAGTTTTTTTTTTTTTTTTTGGATTTTGATTTGTTTTGTTTTATCTTGGCAGGGGGAGTGGTGGAGCGTGGGGAGCATGTGAGGCATTCTCAGGTGAGAAGAAAGTTTCACTGCTAATTGTTTGAAATCTTGTGTTGATTAAGTTATTAACTATCTGTGATCAATTTATTAATGTCCTGACATAAACTTAGGCTGATATAAGGACTTATTCGGCATTTTGTTTTCCTCCTGCCGGATCTTACATCAAAAAGTCACCTTTTGTTGATTCAGAGTGGAGCCATTCAGGCGTCTGTATGGGCTTCAAATGTAAATATAAGTAAGAATACAAGAGGAACATAACATTCAGTAGAACTATAGAGGGGTAGCTACAGATAGTGATTTGTTAGTGAGTTTTTTTATGTTTTTTTAGTGACATTTGAAGTATGGTGCTACTTGTATATGTGGCTCCAGGGAGATGTTTCTGAGGTACCTTTTTGCCTATTCGTTGAGTCTTTTGCCTTGGAATGTTGTATACATGAGGACAACTGAGTAGCAATGTAATTCTGCAGCCATTACTTAAAGCAGTGAAAGATTGTAGGAAGAATGACCCTAAAGAAAGGCTTTCATGTCTGGTTTGCATATTGATTTTAAACAACTGCTTATAAGTTGTGAAGAAAAATTGTTTGATCATATTAGGGATGATCAGGTGCCATGTCATTTGGAGGATAAAAGTTTCAAACACTTTTAAGAGTGAACAGTAGGCATCTGATGGTGTCAAACAAGCACTGATGTTCCACTTAAGGGATGCCTTCATAACCTGTAATCTGCAAAAAGTAATTAAAAAAAAAAGCAAAGCATTCAACTCGTGGGAAGATAACTAGAAAGAGATCTATATAGACAAAATATACTCATCCTACTATGTGTTAACATTTTGTAACATTAACCCAACTGAGTATTCATGGTCACTAGAGATATTATAGTAGGCACTTTATCATAGTAGTGCTGAAATAAATGTAATATAGATTATATAATTGACCCTAGTGGGGTATCTGCTTTCCCTTTTTTCCAAGATCAACCCCATTATTAACATTAGCAATACAAGGTACTTGTCTGATGGAATAAGTCATAATTGATCCTGCAAGATATCTGTATCCTTTTTTGACAGCACAAACCATATCAAAGTGTTTTCCAAGAAAAACATTACAAGACCAATCATGATCTGATCAGCAGAGTTGTGAAACTAGTCCCTTTGTATTCAACTGATCCGCCTTTTATATCTCTGAAATTCTAGGTACTGAAATAATAATTATCTTTCTGTTTTACACTTCTAGTTATTGACTATCCAATCAGATGTTGAATGAATAGCATGGAAGTATATTTTAAAAATGGAAAATATTGGCAAATGAGTTCAGAGGATGTACAATAACCTTATTGCATAGGTATATAGTTGAGCCAAGAGCTCTGAGAGGAGGAGAAAACTACCTCAAAAACAAGAGCATAGGATATGAATGATAGGATGAACAAAATTATGGAAGGATTTTGGGATATCCATGTTAAGGGTGTAGGTGTCAAAAAATGCTTACGGACATCCAAATACTGCTCAAGGCAAAGAGAAGACGATAAACGCTATTTTCTTAGTCAGAGGGGATCATTCAAAGGAAGCGAAACAACATGGAAGAACAATGTACACACCAACAGGCAGTCCATGGTGACGCGCCTTAGGCGCGGCAGAACATGGTAAGACGCGACAGCCTATGGTGGCGCGCCTTAGACGCGGCAGTACATAGTGACGCGGCTATTATAGGGAGTTGCCACGACGGTTAAATAAGCAGTTATACAATGATTTTCAAGGTCCACGTGACGGCATATCAGAAAAAGATCGTGTGTTGATGTGGACAAGCGGTTAAATCACGAAAAAGGTGGTTAAAAATCGTGGGAAGACAGTTTCAGACACGATGAGAACGTGGCTGTAACGGCCTCTTTGGCCGCGCCAGTCCACACTGGCGCGCCAATAGCCGTAGGAGAACTTAAACCGACAAGATGCACTCTACAGTTAGCTGATAGATCCGTAAAAATTCCCAAAGGAGAGGTAGAGGATGTTCTGATCAAAGTTGGAGAGTTCATTTTCCCAGTTGATTTTATTGACTTGGAAACGCAGCCCGTTTCTAATCTCAAAAGTCAAATCCCTGTCATTCTAGGAAGACCATTCTTAGCCACCTCAAACGCTTTGATAAACTGTAGAACCGGTCAGATGAAACTATCTTTTGGGAATATGACTGTTGACTATATCACTATCATTTGCAATTATTTCCAAAATAATTCTTTACAAATTTTAAGCTAAGATATAAAAACTACAATCTATTCTTTATATCTATCTGCTAGTCCAAATTCTTCAAATTTATCTTCAATTCCAGCCATCCGATCGATGCCTTGCGTTTGCTTCTGGTACCTCCACCAATTTTGTAGGCACATCACCGCTTGTACAGTATATGGATCCAAGCATGTCCTGTGATCGTCGATCAAACGACCTGCTGTGCTAAAGGCGGATTCCGAAGCTACCGTCGAAACCTGTACTGTTAGTAAATCACAGTCCCAATTCTTCAAATTTATCTTCAATTCCAGCCATCCGATCGATGCCTTGCGTTCGCTTCTCGTACCTCCACCAATCTTGTAAGCACATCACCGCTTGTACAGTATACGGATCTAAGCATGTCCTGTGGTCGTCGATCAAACGTCCTGCTGTGCTGAAGGCGGATTCCGAAGCTACCGTCGAAACCTGCACTGTTAGTAAATCACGAACCATGGTGGAAAGTATAGGATATGAAACTGATCCATATACTTTCCACCATTGCAAAATATCTAAAGCATTTCCTTGACATCTAACTAAAAAAGCAGAAAAATATTCATCTATTTCAGAAACCTCCGATGATGACGCTCCAAGTCCAGATCCACCAGTTAGCTCGGCTACCATTGCATACCTATCAAAACTTACACTTTTACCTCGGGCTCGGGATGAGCTCGAAGAAACCGAAGCTGCAGACTGTTGTGCAGCTACACCATGTCTAGCTGCATACTCATCATATAAAGTTTGAAAATAATTTCTAATAAGTAAATGATGAGTAGTAGCATTCAGGGTGGTTCCATCATCTAAGTCTATAACCTGTCCACCATACAATGACTGTAACAAACTTCGAAGGCCAATATCCTTCAAGCATGGATCAATAAGAACCCCCAAACCAAAAATATGAGGAATAGGCCTAAAATACTTATTAAATTTGCTCTCCATTTCAAAAACCATAGGTCCAAAAGTAGCATCCAAACGATATTTATCAAAAAAATTTTGAATATTTAAAATTTGTAAAGCAGCTAAAGTAATGGTTGGATAATAACAGCCAGATAATAACATGGTAGCATCATAAAAAACTTGTAACATTTCATTTAAATTACATATAACTGTCCATTCATCTTCAGTTATTCCATAAGTGCTACCAGAACTAGAACTAGAAGCATAATAGTTTATAAAATCAGTTATAATGTCTTTATATTCTATTGCTACACTTAACATTGCATATGTGGAATTCCACCTATGGTCAACATCTTTTGGAATTAGTCTAGGCTTTACATTTTTTCTTTTACAAAATTGTTTCCATCTTTTAAGTCTTTGTTCAGAAGCACTATGCATGTAAGCAACTGTTCTAACCTTTTCTATCATGGGTTTAATTTCAGTAAATGCACTTTGAACAATTAAATTTAAAATATGACAGATGCACCTAATATGAAAAAGATCACCATGACATGGCAATGATAAAGATGATCTGATAAAATCAACAGCTACATTGTTATTACTTGCATTATCTAGTGAAAGAGAAAATATTCTTTGTGAAATTTCTAATTTCATAAGTTCTTCAATTATTAAATTTGCAACATTAGCACCAGTATGTGACTCTTCTATTGCAATAAAAGAAACAACTCTTTTAAACATTTGCCAATTTTCATCAATCCAGTGTGCTGTGATACATAAATATCCAGTTTGTGCTCTAGATGTCCAAATATCAGAAGTTAAAGAAAATTTACAGTTTAAATTTTTAAAATAAGAAATTATTTTTTCTTGTTCTTGCTGATAATATTTTAAAATATCACGTTGACAGGTTTGACGTCATAGTTCCAACTACCGAGATTACCAGAAGAGGAGGATTGAGAAATCATAGATTGTCGGATATCACCTTGAGGAGTCTGGCCTTTGTTGTGTTTATCTAAATGGCGTTTGAGGTGGTTGGTGCCGCTCTTATGATGAGCTTGAAAAATCTTGCCGCACAAAGCACACTTAGCCTTCTGGGTGAGGATCCTACCGTGTTCATCCTTGGTGACGTCGATCTTCTCGTAAAAATTCCACACATCGGATCTTGGCCGTTTAGGAGCTCTTGGTGCAGATTCGTCGCCACCGAATTCGAGATTAACTTCGGTAGGAGGACTCATAGTAGGAGGATTCATAGTAGGAGGACTCAATTCAGGATCGGGAGATATGTTTTGCTCTTCATAATCAGATCCGGAAGCCATTTGGGGATTGGATTAGAAAGTATAAATAAGAGAGTATAAGAGTATAAGAGAGAGTATAAGAGTATAAGAGAGAAGAGATGAGTTTTTGGTGTGAAGAAAACAAATGAAAACCCCCCTCTATTTATAGAACCAGCCCCCTAGGTAAATGATTTGGTGACCGTTGTGGCCGGCCCGGCCTAATTCCGGCAACGGTCACCACTGGTGACCGTTGCCACCCGGGCCGGGCTCCGGTCCCGGGCTGCCCGGCCCGGGCGTTGACCCGGCGGCGCACTGTACCGGGCCGGGCCGGGCCCGGGCCGGGCGCCGCTGAGGCCACCCGGGCCCGGAACCCGGCCTGGCCCGGTTTTCCGGGCCGGGCCGGGCACGGGCCAGCGGGTAAAATGGACAGCCCTACCTAGATACGAAACAAAGGACAGAGCAGATAGACTGAGGCTTTTGATAATTTTGAGGAAGAAAGAGAGAATTTTCACCTTTCATAAACAACGTTTGGTGATTCCTAGAGATCTAAGCTCAGACTTGATCTTTGGAAGAGTGGATATCTTACATCGATAAGATATTCACTTCAAATTCCTACTTCGATAAACGAAGGAAGAATCTCTAAACCCCCCTTACAATCTGTGAATCGGTGGTCCACGAGCCAACGCGCTCCCGACACAGGCAAAGTCCCACAAAACAGGAGTCGATAAACGATTTCTGTGTTATTTTCTCGAGAATTGTAATTTCCCACAAAACAGGAGTCGATAAACGATTTCTGTGTTATTTTCTCGAGAATTGTAATTTTCTTATTTTTTATTGTAATTCTCTGTAAACATTTTCTCGAGAATTGTAATTTTCTTATTTTTTATTGTAATTCTCTGTAAACAATCGAAGTTTAATGGAACCATCAATGAAACCAATTTTCGACGAAAACAAAGGGCTAAGCAACATAAGTAGCATTTCTGTAATATGATCTGCTGTAGTGTAATGAATGCCCAAAATACTCCACTCCAGCTAATATTTACAAAATATAATCATTTTATGCATTCAGCTTGGTCTGAGCTAGTGAAGTTTCCTCTCGAGTAACAATTTGATGTCATTCCTTTAGAAACAACGAGAATCTTTAAATCTGACTCTAGTCAAATTAGAGCTACTTCTGTACATTTAAGTCATGTAAAAATTAATTGCTTTGGAGGAGGCAAGTTTGTGTACATTTTGAGGATTATGGAGAAACAGGCTAAGTAAAGGAAATGTCAGATTTCAGATGAAATTATTGATTGCTTGGAACATGTTGCTGGCATTTCGAACACGTAGACAAATTCTGTTCTGAATTTTTAACGTGTAAAATTATGTACAATTGATTATTATGATGTGCAGGTGGTAATAGCTGTTGTGGTGTCAATTTATGGGTTAGTATTTAGAGAAGAGATGAATAGGATAAGGAGAACTCAAAAGCACATGCCAATAAGATGCTCTAATTGGTAATGCATGAGATGTAGCACAAGGATCAGGACAAGTTGGAGAACCAATATCCTTGGCCTGCATACTCCTGTAGGCTGGAATTTCCACACTTCATTTTATCTTTCGTGTTCTTGAGTGTTACATATGCATGCAGAATTCTTTGAATGTTACATATACATGTACTTTTCCAGTGTTATTTTATATTTCTGTAAGGCCTTTCAGTAAGTTCTTATTTTATGACTTCAAAAATAGGATGAAGTTGCGTATGAAGTTTTTAAATTTTTAGGGCCATTAAGTTCACAACTGCCATCAATACAAGTTATCTTTTAGCTGCTTTGTTCCTATTTTGATTAATTATCTTTTTATGTTTTGTCTATTTCAGGAACCATGGCAAGAGGTTGATCCAGATGAACTTTCATATGAGGTTAGCAATCATTTAAATTTTTATTTGGTCTATGTAGTACAAGTGTTTTTTCTGTGAATTTGAATTATTTTTGTTATGTTGACTTTCATAGGAGCTGGTTGCATTAGGCGAGGTAGTTGGAACTGAGAGCAGAGGGCTTTCTGCAGATACAATTGCTTCCTTACCTTCAGTTAATTACAAAGCACAAACTTCTCAAGATGGCAACACCGACCAGTAAGTTTCCATAGTTCCCTATCTTTTTATTGTAACTTATGTTGATAGTTGTGTGGTTGTGGACATGTGCAGATGTGTTATCTGCCGATTAGACTATGAAGATGGCGATTCTTTAGTCTCACTTTCATGCAAACATTTATACCACCCTGAGTGCATAAACCAATGGCTTCAAATAAATAAGGTATTTGAATTATCATAGACTGCTTTCACTGTGTATTTCGTTACCATTTCTATTTGTTAGTAAATGGAGTTTGCATATTTCCATGTGAGATGGACTTTGATCTCCCTCTTGTCTTTTGTCTCTGTGCCTTCCTTTCCCTGCCAATAAATGGGTAAGTACTGTGTATTAAATCACTAGATTATAAGGTCAATTAGGGAATTGGTTGTTTTGCTTGTCTATTTTTGTCTATGTATTGGTGTGTTTCGTCCCAAGTCAGGCAACATAA